TGAGTTGTGTACTTCTTGAGCTTAATGAGCTTCCCTGCATGAACCATTTCCAGCCAGTTAAAACTTCTGGGTTAAGAATCTTCCATCCAAGAAAGAGGCTTAAATTCCAGGAAATTGCTGTACACTGACATTGCATAAGGAATTAACTGAAGGGATCTGGTTTGGTTTGAGTCCTCAGTCCTCTTCAGACAGATCTTGCAAATTCAAAGGGAGAGGTCGGAGGGAAATTCCCCCCTAAGAGACACCAAGGATTCTTGGCAGCCACCAGAAGCCAGGACAGGAAATGGAATGAATTCTCAAATAGGTTTGAAAGGGGCAATCTGGCCAATTACCTCATGTCCATCTCTGGCCCCCACAACTGTGAAAAAAAGGTTTTTGTTGGGTAAGCTTCCCAAACTATGCCATTAGTTACCACAGTGCTTGGAAATGTGTGTGCCCTTCGATTAGAATTCTAGGATTCTGAGGGAGGTGTTCTCAGGGTCTTTGCACATGCTGCCTCTGTGGACTAGGTAACCCAATGCTGTTTACATGCCACAGTCTATGTGTCACTAATCTACAATCGGCTCAATGCTATTTCCTGAAAGAGAACATTCCTGGCCACATTATCTAAGCGATCTCCAGCACCCATGTAGTTCTCTTAGGGACACCTGAGTTTGAAATTTGTTCCAGCACTCAAAACGCAATACAAGCACTGACTCTCTTGTTGGGTTATGTGTGTCTTCAATGGAGAAAGGAATGGTGGCTCTCTGTAGCCTTACAGCCACCCCGACAAGCACACAGTGTCTGATACGTGAAGGAGGGCTCACTGACTGAAGAAAGGAAGGGGGAAGGAAGAAGACAGAGAAAGTTTGTGTACACAGTGAAAGGTTAATGACCTTAAACTAAGAGCCACAGGCTAGCTAGAAACTCCCACCTCTGCAAAAAGGATATGAACATCTACTTGCCAAGTATCAACATAGTGATAAGAACATCCGAGTCACTCAAGAGCTGGGAGACTCTTGACAAGATAAGACTACACAGATAAGATGGGGGTGGGGATGGGTCACTGCCATGTGGATCCAGTGCTGAGATTGAGCTTGGAAATGGACTTTGGGCATCAGTAGAATTGAGGTCTACAGTGCCCGGGGTGGCTATGTCGTGGAAGAGTGGGAATGAAGTGTAAGAAATGAAGATGGGGAGAGGACTTAGAAGAGCAGCTTAAAGAGGACTGAAATTTTTAGATAGGGTTTCTCTGTGTAGCCTGGCTGTCCTAGAACTCGCTCTGTAGACTAGGCTAGCCTCAAATTGAGAGAACTTCCTGCCTCTCCTTCTCCAGTGCTGGGACTAAAGTTGTGCACCACCACCTCAGCCAGAAGGATAGGGTTTATTTGACTTACATTTCCACATCATCATCATTCAAGGAAGTCAGAACATGAACTCAAACAGGGCAGGAGCTGGGAGGCAGGAGCTGATCTGAGGCAGAGGCCTTGAGCTCATTCTCTCTGTGTCTCTCTGTCTCTCTGTCTCTCTCTCTGTCTGTCTCTCTCTGTGTGTGTCTCTCTCTCTCTGTGTCTCTCTCTGTGTCTCTCTCTGTCTCTCTCTCTGTCTCTGACTCTGTCTCTGTCTCTCTCTCTCTCTGTCTGTCTCTCTCTCTCTCCTTATGTCTCTCTCTGTCCTTACTTCTCTCTCACTCTTCCCATACAGTCCAGGATTTCAGTTTATTCAAGGTTGGATTTTACTCATGAAGATCAACCTACCTCTGCTTCCTGGGTGCAGGTATTAAAGGCATAAGCTACCACACTAATATTAGATGGCTTTCTTACTTTTCTTTTAGGGGGGGGCATATTTCCAGACATGGTTTATCTGTAGCTTTGCTGCCTGTACTGGTACTTGCTCTGTAGACTAGTCTGGCTTCAAACTCAGAGATCTGCCTGCCTCTGCCTCCTGAGCTCAGGGATAGACTCACCCACAATGTCCTCAGCCCTCCCACATCAATGACCAGTTAAGAAAATGCTTTATAGTCTTGCCTATAGCCAGATGTTATGGAGGCATATTCTCACAGGGCTCTTGCCTCTCTGAATATAGTTTGTGTCAAGTTGACTTAACTGGAGACTGGACCAAGAAATGCTACAGGGTTTAAGCAAACTCTCACATCCTCCCAACCAGCCCTTCTTAAAATGGAGTCAAAGGGTATCCTAGCTTGGTATGGTGACACAAACCTTTAATACTAGCACTCCAAGGCAAAGGCAGGCAGATCTCTGAATTCTACATACACAGCCAGTTCCAGGACAGGGATACACACAGAAACTATGTCTCAAAAAACCAAGAAGAGGAGTAGGAAGGACGGAAGGCAGGGAGGCAGGCATATCGTACCAGAGACATAGAAAGGGGCTCATCTCTTTCTTGTTTAAATGAGAAAACTGAGAGGTGATGATGTTAGGTGCAGAAACTAGAACCTTGAATGTCAGCTCTAGGGTGAGGTAATGACAGTAGATGTTGCTGTCATCACTCCTTCCCTTGCACTGCACCTGCAGCTTTCTCCCTGCCTCAGGAGCATGCTCCCTTAGATCCTCACTGTGTGCCCCCCCCAGTCCCTCAGTATCCTCAGGGAACTACTTTATGGTGGTCCAAAGAGCTTCTAGGTTCTAACCAAGGTGCGTGTTTCTGTTCAAACACTTGGAGGTACATCACATTCATTTTCTTACACACCCACTTCCTCCTTTGTTCACTTACTATCTTTCATCATTCATTCATGAATTTGAGGTGCTAAAACTCCATGAAAAATTAATGAATTCTCAGTCCTTGGCAAGTTGCTCATCCAGCCCCCAGGTAGCCAGGTTGCAGCTGGCAGCTTCTCACTCAGTCTTTTACCAGAGCCCATCAGGAGTCCCAGAGGCTGAGCATATGGGCTTCAAAAGCCTTTCCTATGTTCACAGATATCCAGGTTTTTCATGTCTATTGCATGTTTACTCCTCAGATTCATGTACATATCACGTGTGCCACATGTCAGTCTTAGTTGCTCCTGTCTTTATAACAGGGCTGAAAATCACCAGTTGTAATTGATCAAGTTTCACCAAGTATTTTTTATTCCACTGCCAATGATTGAACCCAGGGCCTTGTACAGCGAGACAAAACACACTGCCATTGAACTATATCCCAGACCTTCAGATATTTCTACATCTGCCTAAAAATTTCTGAAACACATCTCTTAAATATACAAAAGGAAGGCTTTTTCCCTAGAAAAACTCAAGCGATGATAAAGAACACAGAAGTTTGGGCTAGAGATATACATCAGCATTTGGAGCACTGGTATCTCTTCTATAGGACGCAGGCAGGATCAGTTCCCAGCACCCACACTGTGGCTCTAACTGACTGGAACCTGAGTTCCAAGGCATGATGCCCCCTTTGGCAAACACAGTGGTACAGATATATATGCACGTACAACAATAATATATATTAAAATAAAATCCCAAAAAGGCAGTGATAGTGCATACCTTTAATGCCAGTACTTAGTGGGGAGCAGAGGCAGGCAGATTTATGGGCTAGTCTGGTGTACAGGAGTTCCGGGACAGTCGGTAATACAGAGAGAAACTGTCTAGAAGAAAAACAACCCCTATACCTAACCACCAGCACACTGCTCCCAGCAGCTCATATCCTTTTAGAATTGTTGGGGCAGGAAAAGGGGACCTAACTCAGGTACTAGGAAAGTTTCCTACCACATTCCTCAGTCCCTCTTCTGCCTTTTATATTTTGAGATAAGATCTCAACTCTGTCACCCAGGTTGACTTTAAATAATCTGCCTGCCTCATATTCTGTAATGGTTGAGACTATAGGTCTGTACAACAGCACTTGGCTTGTCTATATAGAGAAAAATCACACATAAACACACAGTTTGCAATGTTATGGTGAAGTTTATTTATAAAACAAAGCTTCTCTGAACACACTTTTACTCCCAGCAGTAAAAGACACACACGATGTAGGTCGGCACAGCATGTCCTTCTTCATGCTTGGGGACAGGTGGTGTTCAGTGTGTGTGCTCATGTCTTTCAGAACAAGCTTCCATAGGGCAATGGATGGGGACCATAGCCACAACCTATCTAGTCCAGTGTACAAGGAGATACATATCTCATGAGACTTAGTGCACAGGCCTCTCTGCAGACTTATTTGTAGAACTGCACATGACCTCATCCTGGATACCAGGCTAGACATAGAATACTGGCTTTATAAATATCGGGTTAACTGTGTATGGATTTAAGCTACAGTGCCTGGCACCAATTACTCAGCAGGAGGAACAGGGTATGGTCTGGCACCCTTTTCCTTCCAGGAAATTCTGTAGAGTTATCCAGAAGGAAGCATTCTGTAGGTATCACTCCACAGTCTAACCACACCTGCCTCTCCAAGCTTCTACCCTGCCTTCCAGAAGCCTGTTTTCTGACCTGTATCTCCCTAAGAGTCCCATGCTTATCAAATTCTGGTCTTCCAGAAAGCAGAGATGAGACTAGGATCTGGGGAACTCTCCAGTCCATTTCTTTAGTACCCACAGGTCCCAGATATCCTAAGGTCATAGCATTCATTTTCAGCTAGGATGCACAATCCTCCCAGGGAGGTGGTCAAAGCACTCAGTCACCATTGGAAGAAGTTCGATGGATCTTAGCCTCTGAACTGTTCAGAGATCAGGCAGTGAAACTTTAGCTTTGCTATGGAGGTAGTGGGATCCTGTCTGAAAGGTGGCTTGGAGTCAATGCAGTACAGTCTTCTATCTCCCCAAGACACAGAAGTACTTCTGCATGATGGCAGAGCCAGCTGTCCAGTCAAGGTCTGAATTCCACAAGAATGATCTCTGCTTCCAATTGCAGGCACTCTCAACAGTCTTTAGCTTCAGAGTAGGAACAGAGACCATGAATCCAGCTCAGCAGTTGGGGAGGGGACCAGGGCAGAAAAACAATAAATTAAATCAAAGATTAGACTCATCCAGAGTCACGAAGTCCTGTGCATCATTCAAAGTTTTGTGGTGAGTTAGCTCAAAAGGCTGTGCTGTAAGTGCATCTCATTTGACCAGCAGGGTCCTCAGGCCTGAGGCTGTATGGAGGAGGTGGTTCTTCAGTATTCAAGATGACCTGCCAGGGGGAGGAAAAAGCATAGTTAGTTTGCTTCAGGCCTTGGTAAGGAATGATGAACTTAGTTGGCAGCCCTCTCCAAACTGTTACTTCAACAACTTAGATAGCCAGCTATGAAACAAATTAGGAACTGGGATAGAAAGTCTTACCTCAACATAGGGTGGTGGGGGATCCAAGGTGGTGACCCACATCATATCTATGGGAGCAATGGTAGGTGCTTCTGGAGGTATCTCAGTATTCCTTCTGAGGTTCTCATCTGGCTCTCTGCAATTGGAGCAAATGTGCTTCACCAAGCTCCAGATGAACAACAGCTGTTCATGAAGACAATGAACAAGATCCTGGGAAGGGAATGATATCTCCCTGAGTGCCTATACGAGTCTCCATCACCCAACCCCAGCCTATTTCAGCCTTCTGTGAATGGTACCCAGAAAGGATGATCCTAGGCTTACCTTAAATCGTCGTCTGAAAATTTCCATATGTTTTTTTCTCTGGGCAGCATCCACTCTCACACCATGTGAATCCCACGGTGCAGTTTCTATTCAGGTCAGACAGGGATGGGGAGACACCGATGCCACCATAAGTATCAGAACAAAGGGTCCTTGCCTCCCCAGACACCTATACCTTCAGGTTGCAAGACACCATTGGTGGGTATGGGGTACACTTCTATCCTGTGTGCATTGGGAGGAACTGAAGTGTGGACTTGTGACCCGGGAGTTCAGGGTTCCTCTCGCAGAATGACCATGCTACTAAATCTTACAGGGTAGGCATCAACACCAGGATAGAAAGGTAAGGGATTAACAGCAGCTACAGAACTGCAATGATGCAGTTCCCAATGATGGGTGGTAGGAGAGGGTGTATGGTTTCAGCAAATTAGGAAGAGTGAGGAGGAGGTATCTGTCCCCTTATCCAGGGCATATCTGACCACGCCACCATCCCTCCATCCCCCTCCTAAACCTATACTTACAGGGTGTCACATTTGATTATAACTTGTGCAAGAAAACAGACAGAGGTCAGAGCTTCAAAACTGGGAGTTGGGTCTCAGGTCTTAGAGTGACTACCCAGCACAAACTGGTTGTTGGGTTTAATTTCCAGCAATGGCAATACATCTGGTGTGCCCAAAACAGAATAGTTGTACATGTCCACAGTCCCAGACCCAAGAAAGCAGTAGAATTATTCAAGGCTAGATGTTATCTATAGTTTGAGGCCAGACTTGATGGATGCCAGAGAGAGGTTGGTCTGAAACACCGGATTGATGCAAACACCTAGTAAGACAATGCTGGTAGGTGGACCAAGCATTGAAATGATTCTCAATGATTGTTTGCTAAATACATAAATCAAGGAGTTTCACAGTCATCAACATAAAATCTAGTTCACACAGTTTATGGCTTTACTTTAAACAAGGGAATTCAAAATTGGTCTACAAGTAGAGAATAAGTGCCACTGGAGCTCTTAGCCCTAATTGGAATATTTATATCATATCTCTCCCCTCAAAGCTCTGAAGGGTGGACAGCATAAGAAAGAGGTGGTGGATGTCTAGACACAGCAGGATAGATGCATGCCTGAACGCACAGCACTTGTTACTATCATATGCACAAGTCCTGAACAAGCTCAGGAGAAAAAGTTCCAGGAATAGTGTGAAGGACAGTACAATACTACCTAAGCTAAGGACTGCTAGATATTTATGAGCTGCTGGGAATAAAGTCATTTTGTTTTTATTGTTGTTCTTGGTGGTGTGGGTTATTTTTGCTTGTTTTTGATTTTTGCTGTTTGTGTTTTTGGTGTTATTGTTTTTAGTGGTAAGAGTTCTTGCACATTCATGAATAGTTAGCAAACACAAACTGCATTAAATGGAGAGGAAGAGAGGTTGGGGCCAATGAGCAAATTAAGCTATGTAGAAAGGGAAGTGGATATGGGGAACACTATGAAAATACAACATATGAAATTGTCAAAGAAAGAATAAAATATTATTTAAAAATAAAGAAAAGGGATATAATTAAGACCTTCCTGGCAACAGGCTATTTCATGAAAAACTTAAGTTTCATTTTCTTTATCTCCTTGATTTTCCCAGTATGGGGAAATGGGAATTTCTATTCTTCCTGCTATTCCTTCAAACACTACGCTTAAGTTCTCCACAAAACATTCTGATATGTACAAAGTGCTTTTAAACACCCATTCACACTGTGTTCAACCTCCCATTTCTTATGATTGATATACTCAAAATTAACATCATTGTCTGCAAGAAGTTACGAACTACCAGGCCAAGAGATCTACAAAAATGATATCAACTGGCATTAAGGCTACCTTAAATGTCCTCCCCTGATAATGAGTTTGACTACTTTATTATGCCATCCTAGAACCCTAATCCAGTGGCTGTTGGATGCAGAGGCATACACCCACAGCTAAAGACTGAATTGAACCCCTGGAAGCCAGTTGCAAAGAGGAGTGTGGCGAAATCCACAGAGGCCACTGACTAAATAAGGGGGAATTGCATGGACGCCAGACTGAGAGACCAGCATGGGATTGATCCAGATACCCAACCCCACACCCCACACCCTGAATCTGGGTGTCAGAGAAGAGGCCTTCGCAATTTATTTGACACTGGAGAGTAGATTAGTATTTATTTATTCCTAGCATACAAATGGACTCTGGGAGCCTATTCCACATGAAGGGATGATCTCTCAGTTTGGACACATGGGGGAAGACCTAGGCTCTGCCTGGGTTATATAACAGACTCTGAAAATCCCTCATGTAAGGTCTTATCCTGCCTGAGGAGGGGAAGGGAGATGGAGTGGGATGGGGGCTTGGGAGAAATGGGAGGGCTGAGGGAGGAGGGGAGGGAAAGGGAACTGAGAGGAACATGTATAAAAATTTAAATAAAATAAAATATAAAAAATATCTCTTACAAATCTTTTTCTTTCCCTTGCTAATACTTGATTCTTTTTAGTGTGTTTTTTTCATGCTTTGATACTTCGTTTCTGTTTAAAATGAAGAGTATTGCTTAGTTCATATATTCTTCAGTATATTCAATGCAAAATTTCTTTTCTTCCAATGTTTTGCAAGTATGGGTAAAGTTACAGTCATCCATGAGCCCGTAGGAAGGAATAAAGTATCTAAAGGGAAGATATAAGTCAATAAGTTAAAGATGTTGCAATATCATGAGATAACAATAAGTATAATTGTAAGGATAAAACATAAAAAGGAAAAATGCATAACTAAGAATAAATGCAATAGCCAAATCCTTTTTTCAAATATTTAAAAAGTGTCAAAGATAACTCAATGCTATTCCCCAAAAGTGCTAAAGAAGGGGATTATAGAAACAGATTATTAAAAGAGATAAAAATACAAGACCAAAAATATTCACTAAGGCTCTGTACTGATTATCTATCATTTATTTATTCATGTATTTATTTATGTTAGTTGTTCAACTGCTTGATGCAAGCTATGGTCACCTGGGAAGAGGGAGCCTCAACTGAGAGTCTGCCCCTCCAGTTTGGTCTGTAGGCAAGTCTCTGGCATTTTCATGATTAATTGTTTATATTGGAGGTCCAGTCCACAGTGAGCACTGCCAACTCTAAGCAGTTCATTATGTATTGTACAAGAAAGCATACAAAGGAAGTCATTCAAAAGTCAGAGTGGAGGAGTATGCTGGAAACAGGTATCCTTCCTAGATTTACTTTACTTCCTTTTGACCACACCGCCCTACACAATGGACTGAAGGCTAAGAAATGAAATAAACCTTTTTACCCAGATATGAATTGTCATTGTGGTGTTTGTCGCAGAGACAGAGAACCAATCTAAAACCAAAAATGCAGCACAATAATACATAAAATGAAGTTAAAGTGAATTAAAAAGTACTTGATAGAGCTGGGTACCTAGGCTTAGGCTTGTGCCTAAAGTCCCAATACTTAACATAGATTCTGTTTCCCTAGGATGTGTTTGGACTTCAGTTCATACCCACTCATTAATGAAAATCTAAGTATATTTTACTTTTGAGATTGTGTCATTGTCTTTTCTTTCACTAACATAATGAAAAACAAATGAAACTTAAAATTGATAATGATATTCAGTGTTTGTCCACGTGGGGAGTTGTGGTGGGTGTCTTTCTCTATTAGTGCTTGGGGCAAAGTCTGTCACAAATCTCCATGTCACACTTTTAAGTAGCTTTCTTGAAGAGCAATCCCTCAGGATCCTGTCTGCTTCAGGACAGGGGCTTTTGCTGCTGTATCCCACATGGTTTTGGGCTGAATTCTGGGTCTCTGAACCCAGGTCCTTAGCTGTTTACACTGAACAATAATTCAAGATCCCAGAAGAAATAGTTCTAAAAATGATTTTCCTTGTTTGTATTCTTCATAACATAGATATAGATATAGATATAGATATAGATATATTCAATGCATTGCTACATTTCAAAGTTCATTATGTGGTGGGTAATTCCTTATTCTTTCACTTGTTTAATTCTGAAATAAAGACTGTATTTAGTATATTCAAGGTTTACAGTATCTTAGGCTACAACATCTAAAATATTTTAAATTCTGATACCATTACTGAACAGACTGCTATTCTCTCAGTAACAAAAGTAAGTTAAAATATTTCCTTGACATATTTAAGGTAACATGCATATCATATCATGAACTCATGTTTCCCAGATACACTGAAAGTGTGATATGAAATACATAGGCTACCTCTTCTTAGCGAGTGACTTTTTAAAAACTTAAATGCTTAACTTCTGATTTTTAAAGTATGCACAACATTTTCTTTTCATATATCTCCCATTGCCTCTTTGTGTAAATGTGTATTTGTCAGTTTTTCACTGCAATTACAGCAGAAGCATAAATTCTATTATATTTGCAAACCTCAAATCAGTATTAAAAATGATAAACAACTTTACTACATTAGAAAATGGCCTTGTTGAAACCAAGTAGGAACTAGAGGCAATTAAACGACTTTGTTGTTGTTGTTACTGTTTGATATAATGCTTTATTTTTCCAACTCTGTGTTTATAATGGGAAGAAAAATAAAACAAGTTGAACCCTACTATTAATGAAACCCTTAAGCAAGTACCTGATGTAGGATGCTCAGCCTGCAAGAGTAATTCTGATATTGAGGAAAAAGGGATATGAAACTATGAATTGCTTATGGATACATTGGTTTGAACACATAGAGTTACACTAAGAGCTCTCAGATGATATCTTTATATGACACTAAGGTCTTTTCCCTAATCCTGACTCATCAAAATGTGTGCAGGTAGTTCCATACATGAACAGATGAATGGACAGTTATCTATATACAAAGAGCGTTATGTAGGCCTGCTGTTAAGACAAATTATAATTGACTATCTATCATTCTCTACATTTGGTACCCAGAAGTTGAAGGGTACAGCAGAATGCATGGGATGTTGTAAAAGACCACATAACTGTAGTGTATCTCACATGGAAAAGAACATGTGTGTACAGTAGGAAGCTTGTGTAACAAAGCTTGCTTCAACAGTGCAATAAGAAATACAGAGATGTCAGATCAGCTGTGATCAGAAGTGATCATGCTAAAAGGATAAATAGAAATGAACCTTGTCTATTTGCTCCTCCCCCCTCTCTTTTTTAGTCCCTCTCTCTTCTCTCTCCTCTCTCCCTCTTCCCAGACAGCACAGGAGCTCAATTTATTCAAGGTTGGTCATGTACTCATGAAGATCAACCTACCTCTCCCAGGTGCAGGTATTAAAGCAAATGCTACCACACCTGGGTTAGATCGCTTTCTTTCTTTTTTTTTTTTAAGTTGGACATGTTTCCAGACAGGGTTTCTCTGTAGTTTTGCTGCCTGTCATGGTACTTGCTTTGTAGACTAGCCTGGCCTCAAACTCAGAGTTTTACCTGCCTAGGCCTCCTGATATCAGGGGTATCCTCACCCACAATGACCTGGACCCTCCCACATCAATGACTAGTTAAGCAAAAAATGCCCTAAAGTCTTGCCTACAGCCAGATGTTATGGAGGCATTTTCTCACAGGGCTCTCACCTCTCTGTCTCCAGTTTGTGTCAAGTTGACTTGACTGGATACAGGGGCAAGAAATGATGCAGGGTTTAAGAAAACTGTCACTTCCTCCCACCCAGTCCTTCTCAAAATGGCACCGGAAGGTACTTCCTAGCTTAGTATGGTGGCACATACCTTTAATACCAGCACTCCAAGACAAAGGCAGACAGATCTCTGAGTTCAAGCTCAACCTGCTCTACATACACAGCCAGTTCCAGGACAGGGATACACGCAGAAACCCTGTCTCAAAAAACCAAGAAGAGGAGTAGGAAGGACGGAAGGCAGGGAGGCAGGCATATCTTACCAGAGACACATAGAAAGGGGCTCATCTCTTTCTTGTTTAAATGAGAAAACTGAGAGGTGATGATGTTAGGTGCAGAAACTAGAGCCTTGAATGTCAGCTCTAATGTGAGGTAATGACAGTAGATGTTGCTGTCATTACTCCTTCCCTTGCACTGCACCTGCAGCATTCTCCCTGTTCCAGGAGCATGCTCCCTTAGATCCTCACTGTGTGTCCCACCAGTCCCTCAGTATCCTCAGGGAACTCCTTTATGGTGGTCCAAAGAGCTTCTAGGTTCTAACCAAGGTGCGAGTTTCTGTACAAACACTTGGAGGCAGATCTCATTCATTTTCTTACACACCCACTTCCTCCTTTGTTTACTTACTATCTTTCATCATTCATTCATGAATTTGAGTTGCTAAAACTCCATGATGAATGAATGAATTCTCACTCCTTGTTAAGTTGCTCATCCAGCCCCCAGGTAGCCAAGCTGTAGCTGGCAGCTTCTCACCCAGTCTATTCCCAGAGCCCATCGCCAGGCCCAGAGGCTTCACACACAAGCTTCAAATACCTTTCTATGTACACAGATATCCAGGCCTTTTCATGTCTATTGTATGTTTATTCCTCATAGTCATGTACATTTCATGTGTGCAACCTATCAGTCTTAATTGTTCCTGTCTTTATAACAAAGCTGAAAATTACCAGTTGTAACTGATCAAGCTTCACCTAGTACTTTTTATTCCAGTGCTAATGGTTGAATCCAGGGTCTTGTAGAGTTAGACAAAACACACTACCATTGAGGTATATCCCAGCCCTTCAGATATTTCTACATCTGCCTACAAATTTCAGAAACACATCTCTCAAGTAAACAAAAGCAAGGCTTATTCCCTGGAAAAACCTCAAGCAATGCTAAAGAAAACAGTAGTTTGGGCTAGAAAGATGCTTCAGCATTTGGAGCACTGGCAACTCTTCCATAGGACCCAGGCAGGATCAGTTCCCAGCACCCACACTGTGGCTCTAACTGACAGGAACCTGAGTTCCAGGGCACAATGCCCCCTCTGGCATTAACAGTGGTACAGATACATATGCAGGCACAACAGTAACACAGATTAAAAATACCACGGCACTTGGTTCTGCTATGTAGAGAAAAAAGACACATACACACACATTTTAAAATGTTATGGTGAAGTTTATTTATAAACCAAAGCTGTTCTGAACACACTTTTACTCCCAACTCTACTTCTTGGTTTTTTGAGACAGAGTTTCTGTGTGTAGCCCTGTCCTGGAATTGGCTCTGTATGTAGACCATGTTGGCCTTGAACTCAGAGATCCCTCTGAGTATTAAAGGTATGTGCCACCATACCAAGCAAGGATGTACCTTCCGGCGCCATTTTGAGAAGGGCTGGTTGGGAGGAAGTGACAGTTTTCTTAAACCCTGCATCATTTCTTGGCCCTGTCTCCAGTTATGTCAACTTGACACAAACTGGAGTAAGCATGTCCTTCTTAAAGCTTAGGGTACAGGTGGCATTCAGTGTGGGTGCTCATGTCTTTCAGAAAAAGCTTCCATAGGGCAATGGATGGGGACCATAGCCACAACCCATAAAGTCCAGTGCATCAAAAGACACACATCTCCATGAGATTTAGTGCACAGGCCACTCTGCAGACTTATCTGTAGAACTGCACCTTAACTCCTCCTGGATACCAGGCTTGACATAGAATACTGGCTTTATAAATATCGGGTTAACTGTGCACCCATTGCTCAGCAGGAAAAACAGGGTATGGGCTGGCATCCTATTCCCTTCAGGAAATTCTGGAGAGGAATCCGGAAGGAAGCATTCTGTAGGCATCACTCCACAGTCTAACCACACCAGCCTCTCCAGGCTTCTACACTGCCTTGCAGAAGCCTGTCTTCTGACCTGTATCTCCCTAAGAGTCCCATGCTTATCAAGTTCTGGTCTTCCAGAAAGCAGACATGAGACTATGATCCAGGGAACTCTCCAGTCCATTTCTTTAGTACCCACAGGTCCCAGGGATCTTAAGGTCACAGCATTCATTCTCAGCTAGGATGCACAATCCTCCCAGGGAGGTGGTCAAAGCACTCAGTCACCATTGGCATGAGTTGGCAGGAGCTTAGACTCCTAGAGATCAGGCAGTGAAACTTTAGCTTGGCTATGGTGGCACAGTGGGGTTTTTGCTTGGAGTCTCTGCTGTACAGTCTCCTATTTCCCTAAGACACAGAAGTACTTCTGCAGGATGGAGGAGCCAGCTGTCCAGTCAAGTACTGCTATCCACTAGAATGATCTCTGCTTCCAATTTCAGGAACTCTCAACAGTCTTTAGCTTCGTAGTTGGGACAGAGAAAATGGATCCAGCTCAGCAATTGGGGAGGGAACGGGAAGAAAAACAATAAATTAAACAAAATTGACAGTCATCGAGAGTCACGAAATCCTGGGCATGATTCAAAATTTTGTGGTGAGTTAGTTCAAAAGGCTGTGCTGTAAGTGCATCTAGTTTGACCAGCAGGGTCCTCAGGCGAGGCTGTAGGGAGGAGGTGGTTCTTCAGGATTCAAGATGACCTGCCAGGAGAGGAAAACCATATTTAATTTGCTTCAGGCCTGGGTAAGGAACGATGAACGTGGTTGGCAGCCCTCTCCAAACTGTTACTTCAAAAATTGGATAGCCAGCTATGAAACAAATTAGGAACTGGGATAGAAAGGCTTACCTCAACATAGGGTGGTGGGGGATCCAAAGTGGAGACCCACACCATCTCTATGGGAGCAATGGTAGGTGCTTCTGGAGGTATCTCACTATTCCTTCTGAGGTTCTCCACTGGCTCTCTGTACTTGCAACACAAGCACTTCACCAAGACACAGATGAACAACAGTGGTAACATGACACGGGAGACAATGAACAAGATCCTGGGAAGGGAATGATATCTCCCTGAGTTCCTATATCACTCTCTGTCACCCACACCCAGCCTATTTTAGCCTTCTGTGAATGGTATCCAGAAGGGATGACCCCAGGCTTACCTTAAATCGTTGTTGGAAAAATTCCATATGTTTTTCTTCTCCGGGCAGCATCCACTCTCACAGCATGTGAATCCCATGGGACAGTTTCTATTCAGGTCAGACAGGGATGGGGAGACACCAATGGCACCGTAAGTATTGGAACAAAGGTCCCTTACCTCCCCAGACACCTATACCCTCAGGTTGCAAGACACCCATGGTGGGTGTGGGGTACACATCCATCCTGGGTGCATTGGGAGGAACTAAAGCTTGGAGATGAGACCCAGGAGTTCAGGGCTAACCTGGCAGAATGACCATGATATTAATCTTACAGGGTAGGCATGGAGCACCAGGACAGAAAGGTGAGGGCTTAACAGCAGCACAGAACTGCAATGATGCAAAATTAGGAAGAGTGAGGAGAAGGTATCTGTCCCCTTATCTAGGGCATATCTGACCACACCAATCTGCTTTCATCCCTCTCCTAAGACCCATACTCACAGGGTGTCACATTTGATTATAACCTGTGGGACAAAACAGACAGAGGTCAGAGCTTCAAACCTGGGAGCGCGTCTCAGACCTGAGAGTGACTCCCCAGCATAAACTTGGTGTAGGGATCAATTTCTAGCAATGGCAACATATCTGGTGTGGAAAACCAGAATAGTGGTACATGACCACAGTACTAGAACCCAAGAAACCAGGAGAATCGTTCAAGGCTATATATAGTTTGAGGCCAGACTGGATGCCAGAGAGAGGTTGGTCTCGGCACATTTCTCCAGACATATCAGGAAGTGTTTCTCAGACTGCCTCACCCTTCAGCTCCATGTCCAATTTCAATGATACTCCCAAGGTCACCAGCCATGGAGGAACAGGGAAGGACAGAAGCCAAGTCCACACATGCACAACCTGAGTTTCCTCAGCCTTACAGTTGAGAGGCTAAGTAAGAAATACAACTAAAAGGAGGTCAAAGTTCCCAATCAGGGCCCTGTGTGGAAATAGATACCAGTAACAACACAACCTGAGCAAGACTAGGTGCCCAGGGTTCCAGAGCCTCCCTCCCTCTGAAGTGAGTTGTCTACCTCCAATTTCCCCAAACAAAACAGAAAGGAAGTTGAAAATTGCAAGTGGTTACAAGGAATTCCTGAAAAAAATAATGCAGGGCCTGGCTGGAAGGCTAATTTCCATTTCCAATGGTCCTCCAAAAGACTCAGAAGGCTTGCTTACCTGGTTGGTGCTTACTCGTTGGAGACTGGATAGCAGGCAGAGGAGCAAGGCAAGAACTCGAACCAGGAATCTGGCACCCGGCATTCTGTTGGGGGCTACTGAGTTTCCTCGTGCAAGGAAGGAGTGACAGGGCACGACCTTTACAACTTCCCTCCACCTGTGTTGCCCAGCCTCAGAATGGGGACGAGGTTAGCACACCTGAGTTGGGGTAAATTAAGGCTTCGAGCTGGGAGCTCAGGTAGGATAGAAGTGGAGAGGAGCCGAACTTCCTCAAGTCTGAGACACTGGGACTCGGGATGGGCTTATTTATGTAGTTAACAAGATGTACCAGAGCACTATGGGAATCCCTCCTCTGATCTGCATTTAAGTAGAGCAGGGTGTGGTTACACCCACCTTTAATCCCAGGACACTGAAAATCTCAGTGAGTTCAAAGCCAGTATAAAAAAGCTGGTTGGTGGTGGCACACACCTTTAATCCCAGCCTTCAGAAGGCAGATTCAGGTGAATCTCTGTGAGTTCAAGCCAACCTGGTTTAGAGAGTGAGTTCCAGGGCAGCCAGGGCTACAGAGGAACCATCTCTTAAAAAAAACAAAATAACACCAAAAAGAAAGCAAGAAAGAATGAAAAAAGGAAAGGAAGAATGAAAGAAAGAAAGAAAGGAAGGAAGGAAGGAAGAAAGAAAAGAACGATGAAGGGGAGGGACAAGGGGAGGAAGACAATCTGGGAAGATGACTTAGGGGTTAAGAACACTTGTCATTGGATCTGAGTTGGGTTTCCAGCACCTACAAACATGATGGCTCTCAAGTAGGAGAGAACACACACTTCTGAACTCTGAGGGTACACGGTATTTACATGGGGCAATACATATATCTAATAAATACATATATAAAATGAAATAACTGTAAAATTCTATTCGGTTTTTAAAACAACGTATCTCTGTAGGTTTGGAGGTTGTCCTGGAACTCCAGGTTGTCCTCAGACTCAGAGAGAGCTGCGTGCCTCTGCCTGAGTGCTAGGATTAAAGGCAAGTACCATCATTGCCTGGCAAAATAAATCAATCTTAAACAAAAATGAAAAAACAGCAGGGCCAGTCAAATCACCCAATGGGGAAGGTGCTTACCACCAAACCTGAATTTTTAATTTTGGTTGTGTTGTTTGGTTTTGAGACAGGATTTCTTTTTGTTCTTGTTGTTTGTTTGTTTTTATTTTTTGAGACAGGGTTTCACTGTGGCTTTGGAGGATGTCTTGGAACTAGCTCTTGTAGACCATGCAGGACTCAAATTCACAGAGATCTACCTGCCTTTCCCTCTGAGTGCTGGGATTAAAGTTGTGGGTCACCATCAGGTTGTAGGTAGTTTTTTTATTGTGGTTGCTGTTTTTAGTTCATGCTAACCAAGTGCTGGGATTAAAGGCATGTGCCCCCACGGCCAGACTGATAGGATTTCTTTATCTAGACTTTGCTTTTGAACTTCATGCATAGACCAGGCTGCCCTCAAACTCACAGAGATCTGCCTGCCTCTGCCTCTGAGTTCAGGGTTGGGTCACCAGCCACTGGTAGGTAGATTTTTTGGTTGTTGCTGTTGATTATATTTGTGGAGATTGAGTTTCTCTGTGTAGCCCTTGCTTTCCTGGAACTCTCTCTGTAGATCAGGCTAAACTTGAACTCAGTGATCCACCTGACTGTCACTCCCAAGGCTGGAATAAAAGATTCGAGAGAACAGCTCAAGACTTCTGAATTTTTCCTTCTTACCTGTACACCTTTATCTTACACGAAAGGAGGGGTGCAAAGGGAGGTAGGCAGAGATTTCAGAAAGACAGGCATGGAACAAGCAGAATACAGGCGGGGCTAGTTCAGTCATGTAAAAGGCACATTCCTTTGCACTTTGCCCAAGAAGTCAGGAAAAGGATGCTTGGGTTAGGGAAAGAAAAGTCTAGCATAGCATCCCCATTATTTAGACAATTAATATCCCTTTCCCTTTGCAACTTTGTGGGGAGTTTCTGGTTCATTTCCTTTCTGATTAAAGAAAAACTGAGACTACATATTAAGGAAACTGAGGTTAAATACTTGTCCACTCTGGTCAAAAAGGAGACATCAAGCAGCAGGAGGAAGTCAGGTGGGATTCCTGGTAGGAATTAGGATAAGTCTCTGTGGTCATCTGGACTATAACTTTTAATATTTCACTCTAAGGCTAGTGAAGCTTCCATATTCACTCTAATTGCTGAGTGCATATATTTCCTTGTGTGAAAAAAAATGAAGCAGACAGACATAAGTATAATTGTTGGGGAAGTCTTTTGTCAATAAAGCACTGTTGAGCCAATAGGAATCTAGATAGGTGGGACTAGGAGTCCAAGAGGATTCTGGGAAGGAGAAACACGGGAGTTCGAGATGTAACCGCTATGGGGTAGGAAGCCCGGAACTATTCTCCGGTAAGACAAATACTTAGATGAACAATTATGGGGGTAATTACTTAAAGCAGAGATAGCCAGTAAGAGACAAGCAAGGCCAACAGCTTCATAATTAATACAGCGTCTTGTGTGTTATTTGGGGACTACAATGCGGCAGAGCCCAGGCGACTGGAGGGTGAAAAACCAAAGCGGCTAGCAAGGAAAAGCTTCTCTTTATATATAATAATGAACTTTTAAGAAAATTATGATTTCATTTGTGAAATGATAGGACAAGTATTTAATGTTCCTTCCTTAATTTCCTCTTCAATATATTATTCTACTATTGCTTCACATGGTTGTTTCAATAAATTAAAGGGAATATAATCACAACTCTGAAAATTGAGAATCAAATTTTCTCTGTCTAGATTTTATGTCCTGATTTATCTCTCTGGCATATTCCTTATTTCTACTTTGGATAGTTTAGGTACATAGAAATACAAATTTCATATGATATGTATTCTTTTGTAATCACATAGTTTTGGAAAACACACACAACCAACAAAAACAGATTCCAGGTCAGTCAGTGTTATCACACAGAGAGACAGTGTCTCAGAAAAACAAACAAACATTAACAACAAAAATCTAACGACTAAAAAAAAACAACCAAAAGAAGAGGCTGTGTTTCAGACACAGGGTATGTACGGCACACCTGTGTGTGTGTGTGTGTGTGTGTGTGTGTGTGTGTGTGTGTGTGTGTATGTGTGTGTGAGTATACACACACACACTCTCCCTCGTCCAAACCCTTCTCAGCAGCACCACTTGGCCTCTCTTAACCAAGTTCCGGGTCCCTGTCTCTGTCACTTGGAGGAGTCTGAAGTCAAGCTCTCCCAACCATGTGATTTTAACTGAGTCACTTCTGCTTTCTCTGTCATTGATAACAAGGCCAGGCTGTATTACGTCAACCATCCTCCTGTGTTTCTGTGGCATGACTGGAACTCAGCATTCCCCAGGGATGAGGGCAGGAAGTCAGGATATTACAGTACACTGAAACAGGAAACCGATATGTTACAGAATGATAAAAGGGCTTCCTAACTGTGACTGACTAGCTCAAGTGAGTCATGGTTTTTTAGTGTAAGGTGATCACATGACACTTTTAGATTTACCTGAATGTGAAATGTTCCAACTATCCCCTTCTATGAGTCAGAGTTCTCTAGGGGAACAGAACTGACAGAATGATTCTATATATAGAGAAAGTGGATTTATTGGAATGCCTTACAGGCTAGAGTCCCGCTAGTATAACAATCCCTACCAATGGAAAGTTCATGAATCTTAGTAATCATTCATTCCACAGAGTTGGATATCTCTGCGGGTCATTAGTATACACCAGAATTCCAAAGAAATATACTCCAATGCCAATGAAAGAATGAGCATGCCCAGGTTTAGTCTTCCTACCTCAAAAGATATCTACTAAACATGGGTCTTCATGCCAGGCAGTGGTGGCACATGAATTTAACCCAGTACTCAGGAGGAAGAGGCAGGGAGATCTCTGTGAGTTTGAAGCCAGCCTGGTCTACAGAGCTTGTTCCAGGACAGCCAAAGATAATTACATAGAAAAAATCTGGATTGAAAAACAAAAATCAGAAAAGGTGGATCTTCTCATTGCAAATGATGTAAGATAACAGATTCCTCACAGGTGTACCCAGCTGATGTACCAAATGATGCTGTAACGATAAACGGCACACTTACTGAAAATAAAACTATTTGTTGTAGAAATTACTCACAAGATTCCAAACAAGTAACCCAGATGAGCTCAGTAGTTTTCTGCCACCGAACTGGAAGCCGAAAACCAGAAAAAGAGAGCTAGACAACTGTTCATCAGTCTTTTATGCGTTCCCCTGTAACAACCCCTTAGCCATTCCCAAAAGTGGGCCTGGCTAGTGAAGTAGTTCACTGCCTAGGTACGTATACGTCTTTTCATCTGTCCGTATACGTCTTTAGTCATGCCTAAAGTGGGTGTGGTTCGTGGTGTGGTAAACTGTTCTTTTATTACCTCAACTGTATGTGCCTCTAGTAGGTCACATGGTTAATGGCGGCATTGTTTTCCTCCTACACCCAGCCACTTGGATTTTAATTAATTCAAGATGCAGTCAAGTTGACAATCAAGGATAGCAATCACACTGTAAGGTAGAGGGTGGGCATATACCTTGAGATGTGCTATTTGGTGTGTTCCCCTAGGTCCTTCCCTTCCTCTTTTGTAAATGGTTATGATGGGGGAAGTCCTGTGTTTGTGCTTAGCTTATTGGTTGTTGAATAAAGCACTGTTGGCCAATAGGGAAGCAAGCTAGGTGGGACTAGGAGTGAGGAGTATTCTGGGAAAGTGAGGCACATTCAGTCACAACATAGAACTCAGGAAAGCAGTATGTGGACCCATCCTCCAGTTATCGAAGACCACATGAAATACTCAGATTAGCAATTATGGGTTAAATACTTAAGTCACAGCTAGCCAGTAAGAGACAAAGCAAACAGCCGCATCTTACAATTAATATAGCATCCTGTGTGTTATTTGGTGGCTGAGACAGAAGTGGGGCCCAAGCTGCTACCTGTGGCAGGGCTCAAGCGACTGGCATGAAGACAACAGGCTACAGGTTTACTTACTTTAATTTTTATGTATGAGTGTTTTGCCTGCATGTGTGCCTGTGA